AATTGTCCCCACTGAAATTCATTTTGTTAGTTTTGGGCCAGTTACCTGGTTATAATCAGCCTCTTCCTCCAAACTGGTACAACTGAGAATCATCTAGCCAGACTGAATGTTGTACTGTCTTATGTATAAAAAGATGCACAGTGAGACAAGGGGCAAATTTCTCATTGGTTGTCCATATGCCTTGTTAGCTAATGTTGAACAATCTGATTCTAGTTCTGATGTTCTCTCTCCTCTTCTGTTGTCCTATCAACCTGTACTTACATAGGTTCTGTTTTCTTGGAATGAAGGTCAGTGGAGGTGTCTTAAGCGATAGGGTTTCATTTACACAGATATACAACTTGCATGGATGGGCTCACATCATTAACACTCCTACAGATCATGATTCCCCTTTAGGTTTCCAGGGGATCCCCAAAACCCAGCACGGAGCAGCATAGAGCGAGACATGGCTCTGTGTCCTCCAGCTCAAACACACAACTCTGGCTGTTTCTCTTCTACTACCAGCCAGGTGAGGAGGTGAGGAAAGGCCCACCCATTCACCTTTATGGCACAGGGCAACTTCTTTGGATATGCTAAATGGTGGTACTTAACTAGCCAAGCAAAGCCACTACCTTAACATAAGGAACTGGGCTGTTCTACTCTCATGGATACGGGATTGAAAGTTGGAATGGGACCCAAGGTTTCATCCAAACTGACCCCCCCACAACTCATAACAATATGTTAGTGAAGCTTTCACTCAGGCTGACCTGTGGTCCCCTAAACAACTTCCATCACCTTCAGTCAGCATGGCTAATAGGGGTCATGTGAGCAACCTCTGGACAGTCAGACTCTAGCCACCCCTGAAGATGCACTTTTTATAGTCTGAGAACTGTTATCCAGTCATCATAGTAGATGTGCATTTTTAGAGTGAAAAATTTCTCCTATTCATTCTCTTCTAGCCATATATAATCTTACAAGTCTCTATCGTGTTCTGTACTAACCATCTCTTTGCAGAGCATCAAAGCCCAAGCTGTTTAAGACTTTCTTTATATGGAAATAACTTCTTTCAGAGAAACCGTACACAATCATATGAGCCTCACAAAGCCCTTCTGCAGGCAGGGATGAAAAGCACAAGAAAGTGCAGCGACGTAAACCAGATTAAAGCTGAACTGGTGTGTTGAGCAAGTTAACAGCAATGCAAATATCTCAAAAAACTGACAGAAGGTGGCTGAATAAATTACATTACTGGACATCAATACTGCAGCCTATCTTTTGGGATCGAAGAAGCAACATTTCTCAGTATTAAGTAGATTCCAAATACAGCAGTCTAGAAACTTTAGAGTATGCCATGTGGCAATATCCCGAGAGGCTCCCGGAGTGCCTTCTTTGTCCTCTAAGCAGAAAAGGCTACATGCTAATAGTATTCTGGCACTGGAACCAGTTGCAGCCCAGTTACAATCATCAGCACATTTTGTCAAATAATTGACAGCCTGACGGTTATGAGAGGTGACACTGCCAATATTTCATAAAGGCTGAAAGAAACGTTTCTCAATTCCATGTTGCATAAACAAAGCATGCAGGAAAGCCCCAAGAATGCTAACGATCGCCAATACTTAACAATATTTAATTACAACCTCTCATCAGCTTAGCACAGAGTAGAAGAATTTTTCAGAAAGTTATGCAAGTGGGGGAAGGGTTTAAAAGGCTCTATGTACTTATGTGGAGAAAGAAAAAAAATCATTTACCTTCTTCCCCAGCCAATGCAACAGTATTTCCCACTTTACATTATTTGTCCAGGGCAACTTTAAATGCTCCAGCGCCGAGTCTTTCATTGCTTTCCCAAAAGAGATTTGACAATTCAAATAGACCTCATTGTTGGACATTTTTGCCCCGATGATCAGCGTCAATTACCCTTAATTTCATCCCATTATATAATGATAATGTAGGTCACACTTACAAGCTGGGCCACTGTATCTTGGAAAGCAAGCAGTGACACAGAAACAGAAAAGGCTGCAGAGCACAATCCTATGCAGGCTGAATCCTAAGCAAACCCCACTGAACTCAATGAGACTTGCTCCTCAGTAAACATTGTTACGATTTAGCTGTTCAAATTTTATGAATTAGCCTGTCATTTCAATGATTATTTTTGCATTGTTTTTAATCGTGTTTTATATTTTACTATGTGGAGCACACTGCCTTGATATTTAACATGAGTTTGCAGTATTGTTGTTGTTGTTTAGTCATTTAGTCATGTCCGACTCTACATGACCCCATGGACCAGAGCATGCCAGGCACTTCTGTCTTCCACTGCCTCCTGCAGTTTGGTCAAACTCATGCTGGTAGCTTCGAGAACACTGTCCAACCATCTCGTCCTCTGTCGTCCCCTTCTCCTTGTGCCCTCCATCTTTCCCAACATCAGGGTCTTTTCCAGGGAGTCTTCTCTTCTCATGAGGTGGCCAAAGTATTGGAACCTCAGCTTCACGATCTGTCCCCATCATGGATCACTGCCTTGCTGTGACGAAGGGGCTTGAATAACTCAGAGAAGCTATGAGCTATGCCATGCAGGGACACCTAAGACGGACAGGTCATAGTGGAGAGTTTTGACCAAACGTGATCCACCTGGAGCAGGAACCGGCAAGCCACTCCAATATCCCTGCCAAGAAAACTCCATGGACAAAGACAATATGCAGTATACTGATGTTTAAATAAATAAATAAATACCCACCATTTTGAGCTGATCACTATGATATCATATTATATCTAGTTATAATGACCTTCTTTCCAAAAGGTTAACCAATAGAAATGATGCCCTTGTCTTTGCCTCCAGCCTCCACCTGCATCCCTGCCAAATCATACCAATCCTTGCCTGACCCCAAGCCCCTTGCCCCAACCAACTTGTCAGAAGTTGGGACTGACACCTGACACAATTAAGCTAGCACCATGGACAGATGACACATGACATGCGCGTGACACGACATGCAAATGCATGTTGCAAAGACCCAATAGCCATTACAAAGAGCAGCATTTTCCCTAGAGAAGTGGCAGGGGCGCTGTACCTCTTTTTCCTATCAGCTGATTTTCTGTGGCAACTTCACCCCACCTCATGGTTAGGACCGCAATACCTCCAGGAATGCTGCTCCCCAAGTAAAACAACCTGGGCTCTGCAGTCATCCTCCGAGGCCCTTCTTCGCGTGCCTCCTCCACAAGAAGTCCAGAGGGTGTCAACACAAGAACAGGCCTTTTCTGCAATGGCTCTCCATTTGTGGAATGCTCTCCCAAGGGAGGTTCATCCTGGCACCTTCATTATATATCTTTAGGCACCAGGCAAAAATGTTCCACTTCAACCAGGCCTTTGGCTGATTAATATTCTATGGGCTTATAAATGTGTTTATGATAGAGGGGGTTATTTTGTTTTCATGCTAACAATTTATTTGTGCTTTTATCTTGTAAATCAATAATCAATAATGGTTTTCTTTGTGCTGCCTTCCAGGCATGCACCTGCAAAGGTAAACATACAACTGGAGCTTGAGGAGGAAGGAAATGAGTCTGGTGCAGAGGTGGGGAGGGTGAACAACTCATGGTATAGAAGCATCACACCCTAAATAGGATGGACATTTCTAATGGAAGATTGCTCTTTAATTCAGAAAGCAGCACATCAGGTGTAATGACCCCAAAACTATATTTGCCTCCCAAGTTCATTTGGCTATGCACTTTCCTGGCACAAAGAAAAACAAGCCCAGCTCTAGTTCAAGCAAGAAATTCCTCACGCTACTCTAGTGTTTGAGTCAGAGGTGCATTTGATGATTGCATTAAAGCTGGATAGTGCAAATTACTAAAGAAGTGTTTTCCCCCCTCTGTCAACTCCAATATAGTGTGCTTGTGAAGCAAAACAGATGCTCGTGCTAAAAGCCATCCAAATATTTGTGTCTGGCTTATTAATCATCACATTGTGTGTTGGTTTTATTTGTGTGTTTCACCCGAGCTCCAATTCAAAATATGACAACATAAAAATACAGTGCTGGTGGTACAGTGGGTGGCAGAAGAATTATCTAAGGATATTTTTGGCAGTGGAGGCAGGGGGCAGCAGCAGTGGGGGGTTCAGGAAGCGATATCCTTATTATCATCATAATAAAAAAGACAACTGCAGAAATGGTTACGTTCCTGACCCTTTTTTAGAGAGAGAGAATCTCTTTGCCAAGGGAATTTCTGTCAATGCTACTTTAAAAGACAGTCTGAGGCAACTTGAGGCTGGTGATGGGATTTCTTTCGCGGGGGTGGGGGTGGGGGTGGCACATGCCAATAGTGGACAGGACCAGAGCAAAAGTGGCTGGAGCAACAAACATGGAATTTACCTTTGTACTGCAGGCTCGTTTCTACACATACCTCTCTCTCCATCTTCCATACAGACAAACAAGAATCATTATGAGGGTTCAAGCACACGTTCAATACCAGTCAACTACCACGAATTGACTGAGACATCCTGGAATTATAGAAGCCATTCCGGCTTCAGATTGGATGGTCCGTTTTCAGTGCCAAACTCTCGCGCGAGTCTCATTGATTTCATTAGTCCCGATCCAACCCTAATTGTCTTCAGTTTCTGGAAGGTCTAGAAAGACCTGGAAAATGATGTAAAACAGGTCAGTCCAGGAATTGGGATATATGTGAGCAGAGAGGGTTGTGGGGTGGGGAGAGAACCACGTAGGGAATGAAATTGAAACACTGGAGCATTTGAAACAGGCAGACAGAGAAAGGAATTTAACTTAAGTGTAATCACAGTACATGTGTGGTCCCAATATTTCTGGGATAAATTCTTCTAGGGCTGCATCAGAGCTGTGTCAGGGTACATTACTTCTCTTTCAGGGAACCCTACCAGCTGCCATCTGTCGTCACCACAATGCTATTAACCTAGCTTTTCTCTTTCTTTTCTCTCTCTCTCTCTCTCTCTCTCCCCTCCCCCCACTTTCTTGCAAATCTCAGTGTTATTACGTTTCTGCAAAATGAAAGAAAAGGACTATTCATGTCTGGTGGCTTGCTTTTATTGAAGTCAGTCACGTTCCTTGTGTTTGGTTCCATGACACAACTGAGTTTGTTCCTGCGTTGTTGGCTATAAAGCATTCCCTTTGCATCTTTCGCATTGTCGTTAGGTCTTCACAATGTCAGGGTTGGGGAGGGAAACCCCTCTCAAAATGTTTTACGAATGGCATCCTGAGCAGTGATGAGAGCAATCGCCACTCTGCGCTGGGGCTTGCCTGCAATTTCTTGGACTTCTCTGCACCAGCTTTACAGGATCAAAGCAGAATCGTGAGACCGGATCTATTTCTGGCAGGAATGGCACCGGAATCCTTGATGGCTTGCATTGTTCTAGGATTGTGATTGCATCCTTCTTCAGCAAAGCCTGGAGTATTCCGGTGCAGATTACATTGTCACGTGAGTGATTGCTTCACCATAAACCAGGGTAGGGAACCTATGAAATTTCAGATGTTGTTTGACTGCATCTCCCATCATTCCTGTCCATTCCCTTCTGAAAACAATATCAAGGAACATTAAAACTGTATCCCCAGTCCCAAACCCTCCATCTTTGCAGGACCCAGCTCTCGCAGAAGCCTGTGTGCAGACTATTGTGTAGGTTTCCCGAGTGCAGTGGGGGGATGCCCAGGGGAAGCCACACAACCTAGATGCCAGGGATCAGAGGCAGCTTTAAGAGAGTATGACCGGTGAGTCGCACCAGGCACAGAGTTTCTGGGGCACTGGAGCAGACTCCACCAGTGTGGTGGAGAGCCAGTGTGGTGTAGTGATTAAGAGCGGTGGACTCGTAATCTGGTGAACTGGGTTCGCGTCTCCGCTCCTCCACATGCAGCTGCTGGGTGACCTTGGGCCAGTCACACTTCTCTGAAGTCTCTCAGCCCCACTCACCTCACAGAGTGTTTGTTGTGGGGGAGGAAGGGAAAGGAGAATGTTAGCCGCTTTGAGACTCCTTTGGGTAGTGATAAAGCGGGATATCAAATCCAAACTCTTCTTCTTCTTCTATTCCAATGGAAGACAAGGGGCAGGAGGGCATTGCCAAAGCATGCACTCAGAGGAGATTTGCACCAAGCAGTAGCAGAACAAATGGATGAATGGACAGCCACTTTTTGTTTTTCTTTTTTGCTGGACCACCAGAGAACAATGCATTGTTAAACTTTACTTTGCTATTAGGACCTTCCAGTTTTGGCTATTTCCAATTGCTTGCCGTAACAATTCCCTAATGACAAAGGTATATTTTTGGTATGCCATAACTCTGAAATACTAAAATTATACTGCCTCTCATATGTATTGCCTCATAAATACAGCATTCCATTTTTGTGCACGCTGAAATGGGTGTTTCATAAAGCATCATAAACAATTTAATTTGTAATGAAATAAACCCACCAAATTACCTTGGATTTAAAGTCTGAGTCTGTAGCTGCAGGGGGAAGGAGATTTGCAAATCTCCCCTTACATTTGGGGCTAGCAATCCCTAAGCTGGAATAGCTAGATGATTCCACTCACCTGAGGGTCACAGCAGAAAACCAAGTTTTAGATTTTATCTGTTTCCTTAGGTGCTTTTCTGTTTTCTGGAGGCTAAAAATGAAAATTATCAGTATAGATCAATTGCTTGGAATGCAGAAGGTGTCAGGCTGAATCCCTGGTAAATCTCCAGGTTCCATCCATCACATTTCCAGGTAGGGCTGGAACAGAACCCGGCCTAGAACCCTGGAGAGCTGCTGCCAGTCAGTGTAGGTAGTGCTAAGCTAGATGGGTCAATGCTGACTCAGTATGAGGCAGCATAGTATGTTTCTATGCTCAACAACAGCTATATTTCAATTAGTATTTTAGGGAGTAATCATATTGTTACCAAAGCCATGTGCCTGCCCCTCTCTCTGCCAAGCGGTGGCAAGAGCCCATGGCAGCAGTTCTCAACCTGTGGGTCCCCAGATGTTGTTGGACTACAACTCCCTTCAGCCAGAGCTGAAGGATGATGGGAGTTGTAGTCCGACAACATCTAGGGACCCACAGGTTGAGAACCGCTGGCCCATGGGGTCCCAGGCAGACACACAGGGTCTGTGTCCCTTTGGATAATGGGGATAATAGGGACTGCCGTGGCTTTAGGAAGTATGGTTTATTCACCTATTTAAACCATCAGTCTGCATAGAGGGAGTCCAGATCTTACAGCATGGTCATTTCAAGAGGTAGCAATGCAAGCAGCCTGCAGTATGTCTCCTCCAAAGGTGGATCTCAGTGCCTCTTCCTCTTCCTTCTTTCCAGAAACCCTCAAACATGTCATCAACACCTTTTGATGGGCCATTGAGGCTGGTTTGCATAAGCCAGCCCAGGAATTCTCTGAATTCCCTAGCTGGCACAGTGCTACACTTTAATCCATATCCCAATTAATCAAAACCCTGGCATTTGTTAATTTATAGGATTCAGGGGGATTCTCCTCCATTAAATCTGTAACAGTATTCAGTTTGGGAAGGTGGCTCTGAGAGGACAGTAGGATGCAGCCGATATCCCTTTGCACTGGCGGGGAGGTAGAGAGGAAGGAAGGAAGGAAGGAAGGAAGGAAGGAAGGGCAGTTGGGGGAGGGAGCCCCACTGTTCCTCAGGACCCTATGCTCTCTTGCTCCCCTCAGGACCTAAAACTATGCCAACCCTGAAGTTGCTGTAGTTAATTCCCTTCCTTTGGCCACAATGGGAGGGGGCAAACAATAAACCAGCTGCCATCCTAACCTAAACACTATTTGCCAGCAGATCTCTGGATGCAGTGGAAACTCTTCCATAACCCACCCCACCCAAGGAAGGTAGGAGTTCTCTGTTAATTATACATCTGCATTTAAACTGACACATTGTGTGGTGCCATTCCGTATTTCGTCTCCCAAGGGGGATCATCACAAATGACATCTATTTATCAGCCTATTTATTTCAAGATGTGTATACCCTTTTAAAAAACAACAACACAACACTAATAGCAGCCTAGAAACGAAAAGGGAGGGGCAAGCCAATAAAATGGTAATGAAAGAGATAAAACCATTAAAAGCAAGCCATCTGGAGACTAACAGCACAATCCTATACATGTCTGCTCTCTAGTCTATCTTAAAAAAAAAAATACTACCTGGCTGTCTTAAAAGCAGGTGCCATTGATTTCAACAGTTAAGACAGACAAGAAGACAAAATAGTAGTGACTTCGTCTGTCTTAAAAAACTGCATTCTGTCCACACATACAGGTTGCTCAGTCTTCCAAGCTAAGCATAATATGAATGGCATTCAAATGCCAAACTACACACACCCACACCCCGGCATTTAAACAAGATTTATGGTACCTTTTCCATGGAAAACATGGTAAGTAAAAGAAAGATACCTGTTTGCAATATCCAAATGATCACTTTGCCTCATTAAGGCTCCATCTGGAATAACCACAAACACACCTAGATTATATCATCCTTTGTTGCCTGTGGAAAGTAGTGGGAAGGTAGACCCCAACCTTTTTCTCTCATCAATTTTTCCTGTTCAGACAATCCCCAAATGGTCCTGTATCAAGAAGCTGTATCACCTGACTATCCCAGGCTATTATCACTCCTTTGTCAACTTCCAGAAGTATGGATAAGTATTGCCATAAAGCAGGGATTCCCAAAATGTGGTCTGCAGACAACCAGTGGCTCATAATCTTCATTCCGATGGTCTGAGGCACATCTGGGAAGGACAGCAGAAGCAGCTGTGAAAAAAGGGGTCCAGTGGAAGGGGCCCTAGAACCCAGTAGTCCACCTGGCAGGTAAGCAGGGCGGGCACGACAGGTACATCCATCACATTAAATATTTATGTTATTTTTAAATTTTATTTACATGGAGTTGGATTGCAATCCAATATATAAGAAATAAGAGAAGCAATAAAAATTCAATTAAATATATAGAGCATCTAGCACAGTGCTAGTAATTCATCAACTTGCTGAAGGTATTTTTTGTTAAAGTTCAGTGTTTTTCTAGAAGGGAAAAAATCAAGCAAAGGCTAGGTACTTGTTCCTCCTTTTTTTGGTAGAAGTCCTGCTTCATGCTAGGAGTTTAAATGGTAATACTTTTTGCAAGATTGAAAGTGAATGGGTTGCATTTCAGCTGGCTGAAGGTCTTTTTGTTAAAGCTCAACCGTCTTTTAGAAGTTGACGTTATTCTATAAATATCTACTCTAAGTTTGTCATCTAACCCTAATGAATTATTATGCTGATGCCCTTTGAGAAGTCTCTCTCTCTCTCTCTCTCTCTCTCTCTCTCTCTGTGTGTGTGTGTGTTGAATCAACATAGCTGCCTACATTCTAGGACACTTCTTGGGATTGTGGGTCATGATGAGCTGCTGAAGTTCAAAATTCACTACTACACCACTGATTGCAACATATCCAAGAATATATGTGATTTTTGGATTGTGGAGACACAAGGATTCTGTGAGGTATTCTGAATCAGAGTGAAGCCTATACGGTACATTTTAACTCTTTCTCCTTATCAGAACTCCATAAATGCATGTCTGAGCTCAGCAATGTAAATTCCAAATTACTCCTGTTTGAATTTCACCATCAGACTCCCCATCTGTTCTCATTTCATTTTCAGACTTTCCATCTGCTTTTGCCCAGCCCTTTCCAACACAATGCCTTGCAAGACGGCATGGCTTTCCCAGGCCCGTCTTTCTTGCAAATTTTATAGTACATAAGAAACAATAAAAATGTATGTTTTATACATGTTGGCCCTGTTAATTAATTCCATAGCACACGTTGTTTCTAAAATGATATTGTCCAGAAAGTCCACATGGCAACATTTTACAGCTCTTTAATGCCAGGTGGATTGTAAGAGTTCTGACATTAGCACTAATGTGTTTTGCGTCGATGCGCAGTGCTTGGGAAATACATATTCTAGAGAAAGGGGATTAAAACACTGCATTCCTACAATGCAGGGACTGTTTCTTTTATTGGAACTTACAAGGAGCTTAAATATTTCATTTGTATGACAAACGCTCACTCACCGCTAAGCCGTCCTTTAGGATCATTCTATGGCAGGAGGCTCAGGCAAACTGAAATATAACCCATGGAAGCCATTTCACTGATTCATTTATGTCCAAAAACACAATACACCTGGAGGTTCTCCTGTACAAGTCTCCCTGAAATTAATGCAAGTTGTACAAGAGTACACTACTGCATCAGGGCAAGCTAGTAAAAGGTAAAGGTAAAGGATCCCTGGAGGGTTAAATCCAATCTAACTTGACTATGGGATACGGTGCTCATCTTGCTTCAGGCTGAGGGAGCTGGCGTTTGTCCACAGACAGCTTTCTGGGTCATGTCACCATCATGACTAAATGGGTTTTGGTGCAACGGGACACCATGACGAGTGCCAGAGTGCATTTGTTATGTACTGAAGTTCTCACCCTGGGCCAGCAGGGGGATACTGTAGATAGTTCAAGTCCACATATGCAAATAAGGGATCAAAAGTGACATTCAGTGATTGGATAGTTACAGAAAGTTGTTACAGTTACGTTGTACTGGAGCTCTATATAAGCAGGCTGGCTGAACCCTTCAGTTCAGTTCTGTTCTGGCCTCTGAATAAACAAGAGCTGTTTGAAGAATCGCTGTGTTGTCTGATATGTTCACCCACAACTTAACAGCATTGAAACACCGTTTAGCTTCCCATCACAGTGGTAGCTATTTATCTACTTGCGTTAGTGTGCTTGCAAACTGTTAGGTTGGCAGGAGGTGGGACAGAGCAACAGGAGCTCACCCCGTCGCGTGGATTCAAACCGCTGACCTTCCAATCAGCAAGCCAAGAGGTTCAGTGGTTTAGACCACAGTGCCACCCTCAAGCTAGTGGACTATATTTCAATGGGATTTGAACAGGAAGACACAAGATTAACAAAAGCTGTGCACCGTATTTGCCTGAAGCCTGAAGCCCAGGCCAAATCAGGTTGATTCAGGTGTGGGGGAGATCTGGGCTTTGACTAAATTGGATAGAAACAGCCCTGGATCTCTATGCTCAGGCCACCCATAGCGATCCAGAACTGTCAGGGGACATTGGGCAGGAAAGCTGCAGGGATCTGCTTTGCCAGAGTTTTCCCTACCGCGAACATGCTGCAGAAGCAGAAACCCACAGAACTGAATCCTCTACTACTCACTGGTTGGTAAGCAGAGGATTTGATCCTGTGGGGTACCAGATGCTCCATCACAAATGCCTTTCCTACAGGGAAGGTATTTGCGAAGGAGCCCTCCACAAAATCCCAACTCCCCTGCCAGGCCTCTTCCCAAGGCCTGGTTGCCACAACAACCTCCCAGGCCTACTTCCACCAGCCACCACTGGGCTGCAGGGGACTGTCCACATCAGAGGTGCCAGGTCCTGACAGGGGTGAAGTGAGCAGGGTGCCTTAGCTGACGGAGCCCAGGTTCAGCCTGGGACTTGCTGCAGAGTGGGTGCACAGATGGAGAATAGCCTGGGCAGTTGCCGTGGCAATGGAGCTTAGGGAATAGGCTGAGGTGATATTTGGCAGCGAGGTATTTGAAGAGCGAGAGTTTGGGTTCAGTCCTTTGGAGGATGCCATGGACTGAAACCCCCCCCCCACCTGCTCTCAGTCAAGAGGAAGGGAGGGGAAGCAAGGTCTTCTTCCCCCACCCATATGTGTATTTATTATCCATACTAAAGTCCTACACTATGTGTGCTGGTAGTCCCTGTGAAAATAATAAAGTGTTAGAAAGCATGATGGCAATGCAGGAAGCACTAATAGTCTCCAAAGGCCTGAATTAAACAAAAAAGGTTTTAACAAGTACCAAAAGTCCCTTGTCTGGTTTCTAAGGGAAGGTGGTTCCATTGGTTGGGTGCAAGAACGGAGAAGGCTTTTGCTCCTGTTCTACCATGAGATGGGCATCTGCGGACTGCAATATAAGCAGGACAATTTTATCATGATTTTCATTCTCGTTGCTTTTGCTTTGAGGATTTATCTCACCATGTTGGGATTAGCTACACCAAAACCTCACTCCTGCAGTCTAGGACTCTCAACTCTTTCGACACCCCAGAGAATAACTTGTAAATTCTGCACACCACCAACTCAAAAAAACATTGTTTCTGTGATATTAAATTGTGGCAAGTTCACAACCGCCCATTGACCGTTGCATCAAGTCGTTGCTTGGCTGTATAAAACAGCCACCATTGATTAATCACTGTAGACAGCACTTCCATATAAACCCAATATCAACTCAAACACAATTCTTTTCAGTAGAAACAGTTAATGCGTTTGACATTCGTCAAGTGCTGAGTAATTAAGTGATGAGAGTTCAAGGGAGGTACATCCATTTGTGAGCCAGCCCTTAGCACAATCTGCTTGGCAACTAATTTCTGTCATCTACCCTGTTCGTGCTGAATCAGTTTGTGCTCCCTCGCCTCAGCTAGCTCTAATGATCATGTCATCAACTTGTAGTAGAATTATAAATGTGCCAATTCTTATCTTCCTAGCTAGGTGGTGGTTAGAATTTAAGGGTGGTATATGAGGGGTCATCCTATCTAAGTTAGAAAGCAATGGTTGATAGAGATAGACACAGTCTGATCAATAGTTGCAACTGACATTGAATACTGATTTTGCGAAGCTGGTATATTATAGATCCCTGAAAGTTAAGAGAACTACAATATTGCCAAATCAAATTGTTTTGCCATATAATTTTTACTTTCTCAGCACTGAACTAGGATTGTTCTGTGTTGTTTTTCTGCAAGTCCAGAATGAGACCTCCTGATCACTCTTGCATTTCCTATACTCCGTATTAGTTCTGTACTATTAAGAAGATAAATCTGATTAAATGCATCCATTTAAGAAATGTGTGGTCTGCAGCTTTTAAACCTGTGTTCAATAGCCAGGAATTGAACAGTCTGGAATTCATTATCTAAATTGCTTGATGAAATGCTTACTTATGAACTTTGCCTCCCAAGATTTATTGGTAGATCACAAGAACTTCACCAACCTCAAATGTTACAGTCTCTGGAATTATTGTATACATGGGTTATTTGGGTTGGGTACCTCCCCCCCCCCATCCCAACTTGTTTTATTGTTTTGGGACCTGGTGGCAGCCCATACTGGGGAATGGGGAGTTCCATTTCAGGACATCCTCTCTGCCAAGAAATCAGTACTGGTTGTCATCTTCTCTCAGCCATAGAACCACCTTCAGCCTCCAAGTTTCTGGGAGATGCACCACAGCATAAATGTCCACAAAAGCCCTTCATGCTGCCTATTAAAATCCTTTTGGCTAAAGGGGGACAGAGAAATACCTAGTAGATTCGCAATGTAATATTATGAGAGTGGATCATTTTGGTAAAGCTCAACTATGGTAAGGATGGACAAATCTGTCAATTTTGGTTTCTCTCAAAGTCTCATCATTCCAACTTTGAATTCAGTTCTCCATACTTCCGCAGCAATTTTGCAGGTGGTTTTTTTGTTTTAATCTGCAGCAAGTTTGCAGGTCCTCATGAAAAGTAATCAGCATTTTAATTTCTCCCATTAAAAACCACATTTTTGTATGCAGTTTCGTCCTACCCATTTTTGCCGGCACCCCGACAGACAGCCAAAGTCAACTTGCTCCCATATCAGATCACCAGAGATAGACCCATGCTGTTAGCTTTCAAAACCCAAACTCAGCAGTATCACATCTCTGTGACTTTCCGCATCTCTCTCTCAAACTGGAGTCTGTTGTCCTTTTTCACACAAAGTTACCCCTTGTACCCGCCCTGCCTCTGGCTAGAGAGGGGGATCCAGAGAAATCTTCTGGCCATCACCTCAGGTGGTATCCAGCTAAACAGTTCTACTAGCACAAGGAGTTTTAGCTGCACTGGCACTTCCATATTCTCTCCTCTCTGAGTGCTCAACCACTTGGTTTTCCCTTAAATCTGATTTGAAGGATTGGGGGAACCTGTGGGACAAATTCAGGGGGCACATGGGAATGCACAGAAAGAGGAGGGAAGTTCCATTAGAAAGCTAAATCTCCTTGCACTGGTGGAACCTTTTTAGTTGAGTACTACTCCTAGCCTGGGTGACCTATGTCCACTTGGGCTACACAGTTTTTGGCCTTGTCTACTACTGACATAGTGAGAGATTTTACTTTCTTGGGCTCCATGATCACTGCAGATGGTGACAGGAGCCGCGAAATTAAAAGACGCCTGCTTCTTGGGAGAAAAACAATGACAAACCTAGACAGCATCTTAAAAAGCAGAGACATCACCTTGCCAACAAAGGTCCATATAGTTAAAGCTATGGTTTCCCCAGTAGTGATGTATGGAAGTAAGAGCTGGACCATAAAGAAGGCTGATCGCCAAAGAGTTGATGCTTTTGAATTATGGTGCTGGAGGAGACTCTTGAGAGTCCCATGGACTGCAAGAAGATCAAACCGATCCATTCTGAAGGAAATCAACCCTGAGTGCTCACTGGAAGGACAGATCGTGAAGCTGAGGCTCCAATACTTTGGCCACCTCATGAGAAGAGAAGACTTCCTGGAAAAGACCCTGATGTTGGGAAAGATGGAGGGCACAAGGAGAAGGGGACGACAGAGGACGAGATGGTTGGACAGTGTTCTCGAAACTACCAGCATGAGTTTGACCAAACTGCGGGAGGCAGTGGAAGACTGGAGTGCCTGACGTGCTCTGGTCCATGGGGTCACGAAGAGTCGGACACGACTAAACAACTAAACAATAATAACAACAACAACTACTGACATGTGGCACCCAGAGGGCACGTCAAGGGCGAATGTAGCCCTCAGGCCAAAGAAGATTCTCCAGTCAAGAGGCCCTGAGATATTACAAATACCAAATGGTCAGTTTTGTCCTAATATGTGGAATTGCAGCAGGAAATATCATACTCACAGCTCTGCCCTATACTGTGAGAAAACATCAGCATTTTTTTTCCTGATAGAGGTAGCCAAGATCCTGTCAACTGAGGTTGTGATTAAATCTGTCCTTGGGCCAAAAGGTTTCTGGATATTCTCAAAGTAATTTATTTGATGCTACTATCTCTCTTCCCTACTACGGGAATGTCCGCAGTCTGAAACCCAGAAGAGCTGCTGCCAGTCAGTGTCAACGATGCCAAACTAGATGGAGTTCCCCGTGTTTCTATTATTCCTGCAGTGCATAGTAGCATGTGTGGCAATATCTCAAGCAAGATAATCTGTTAACATATATGAGGTTATGACTACAGCGCTGAGCACAGAAAATAATGAATTGCACAGGGTCACCCCCTTCTGTCAGCATAGATCTCAGTCTCCCCATAAAGCCCCAGTTCCTATCTGTTTGTTCATATACCACTAATGCTTGCCCATTTTTAACACTGCAACCCAAACTTAGAATCATAGAATTGCAGATTTGGAAGGGACTCTGAGGATCATCTGCAATGCAGGACTATGTTTGGGTGTAATCTTCGATACCTCCCTCTCTATGGAGGCGCAGATTACAGCTATAACAAAGGCGGCATTTTTTCATCTCCGCCAAGCTAAGCAGTTGGCTCCGTATCTCTCTCGCCCTGACCTAGCCACTGTGATCCACACGACAGTCACCTCCAGACTGGATTATTGTAACTCGCTTTATGTGGGGCTGCCCTTGAGACTGACCCAGAAACTCCAGCGGGTGCAGAATGCCGCGGCGAGACTCCTTATGGGGTCTTCGCTGCGAGATCACATTCATCCGGTACTATACCAGCTGCACTGGCTCCCGGTGGAGTACAGGATCAGGTTTAAGGTGCTGGTTTTAACCTTTAAAGCCCTATACGGCCTAGGACCCTCATACCTACGGGACCGCCTCTCCTGGTGTGCCCCACAGAGGAACCTACGGTCTGCAAATAAAAATATCCTGAAGGTCCCAGGCCACAGAGAGGTTAGGCTGGCCTCAACTAGAGCCAGGGCTTTCTCGGCTGCGGCTCCAATCTGGTGGAATGCTAGAGACTAGGGCCTTGTGGGACCTGACATCTTTCCGCAGGGCCTGCAAGACAGAGCTGTTCCACCAGGCCTTTGGTTAGGGCGCAGCCTGACCCCCTCCTCTGGCAACCTGCACAGAATTTTGCTTAACGGTTGCCATCAATTTGATTTTAATTAATTTTTATAATGAAATGTTTTTAAAATGTTGGATTATTTGATTGTTTGATTATTTGATTGTTGTTAGCCGCCCTGAGCCCGGCTTCGGCTGG